AGCTACTTTGAGTAGGGAAGGAAGAGAAGGAAAAAGTAAAGAAATATCCCTGCATGGGCTTTGTCTCACATTAACATAATTAAAATTACCTGCTGCCAGATTCAAGTTGCTTTAATGTCTGTGACTTCTTTAAATCCAATTTCAACAGGGATAAAATCTAAGTGAACTATGTTTGTCTTGTTGCAACTAGCCGAACACCCTACCTTACTTACCATTTTAAAAAAGTTTGGATTTTCTTTTTCCTCCAGGATAGGGTAAAAAATTCTTAGCTGCTTTTCATAGAAAGCAGTTTCAGTTCAGAGCCATGGAAAGATATTAAAAAGAGCTCCTACAAATGGAGCGAGTGTTTTATAAGCCCACATGAAGTTAAAGATCATCTTCACTGGCACAAATTCACACTGTTCAGCTTTAAGTATCTCACTTGTGTGACTGAGCTAGGATTTTAGGTTTCATCCCTAATCTGCAGTGTCTTTGAAATGGAGCATGAGCTCTCTGGGACTATGTTAAGACTTCAGGCCCGTCCTCGTCCTCAGCCATGCAGCTCCAGTGACCACTGCTGAAGCCTGCCACGGCTCCTATCTACCAGAGAAAGCAACGTTTGATTTTCTTTCCATGGAAAAAGGTGCTGGGCAGATGGTGGTGTTGTGTCAGCCTTCCTGTGAGAGTACGTGGCTGGAGGACACCGCTGCATGCTATCCTGGGATGTAATGGGAGGTCTCAGTTTTTCCCTCTGACCTCTCTACAGGGGTTGTGCCCCTCATGTGGGCACTTCAGTTAGCTGAATGATAAACCGCCACTGGATCCATAAATGCATCACAACAAGGGCTGATTTTGCTGTTGGGTGAGCAGGCAATAGCAGGTATTTGGCACCTTGTTATCAGCATCTGACACAGTGCCCACTTGGTGGAAAACTTTAGGAGATGACAGAGGCTGTGGGACTGTGCCCACCCCTCACAGTCCCTGCTATAACCAACCCTGACAACTTTGTGTTAATGAAGTCGCAAACTCAAGTGGCTTGCGCTGTTGGGATGGATTTTCCTGCCGCACGGACACTTCTGGCCGAGAGGAGCAGAGAACCCAGTATTTCTAAAAAGTACTGAAAAGAGTTAAAAGCTCACCCTTACAAAGCTACCTAACTGATAAAAGAGCTCATTTGATTCTCCAGCCACAACTCCGTGTGCTGAACATGCTTTCTTGAGAGAAAAAGTGGGGGGAATTTGGCCATTATTGCCCAAAACAAGTAATTTAAGAAACAGCAATGAACAACGGATCTGTTAGCTTTCTTTTAGCCAGAGCAAGTGAAACTAGAGACTCATTTTTAATAATTAAGGTAAATCTAAAAAAAAAGTAAAATTCAAGTTGCTATTTCCTATGAGGAGTTGGAAAAGCAACATGCGTCTCAGTGTTGCCACTGGAAATTGGTGGGTGCCTCTAAATATTAAGGCATCACTAGGTCTCTCAATACAAATTTAAAAGATTGATTTGACTTTTCACAATAAAGCCAAAAAATTTGACTGTCATCCAAAAAAAAAGGAGCAGAGGCATATACAAATGGTATATAATTGGTAAATCAGGTAAGAAAGCAGCATATAAATAGAGAAATTACTGTCTCTCTTTATTTAGTGAAAAACTGTCTGACCCAGGAGTTATGTAATGTCTCAGCATTACTTATTTATTTACTTAAATATTTTTCAGTTGCCTTCAAGGAAGTTTAGGCGACTGAGAAATTTGTTTGGGCTGGTTTTCCTGTGCATGTGTGGTAGACCCATGGCCTTGGCAAGGACATACTGTGGTCACTGTTGGCAGCTCTGACACGTTTTGTCTCTGTGGGGAGCAAGCCAGACCCTCTGCTGCCCAGGCAGCTGCTTTCTTAGTTTTAAATGCTAGTTATGGTCAAAAGCTTAATCTTTCCTCCTGCCTCTGAATTGCTCAAAATGGCATTGTTATTGCTTTTTAGCTTCTCACCTGTGGGTTGGGAAGAGGAAGATTAACCAGTTTTCCTCCTGTGAGGATGCAAATTCACCTGTTGTCATATGAAGGTGCTATATTTAGTTATGTTAAGAAATAAGATGTAACAGAAAGTATTCTTACGTGCTAATTGCACATTTCACATACTGTTTTACTCCTAGTGAGAATAAACCCCACTTCGGTTTCTATCCCTAGTGATAATGTCTAAGTGACCTTTGAGTACCACCTCTTTCCTCTTAATATTCACTGCATAGGCCACAGATAAGAGCTTTTCCTTATCTGTATTTGTCCACATGCACACTTCAGGAATTTCAGAGGTGAAAGTTTTTTTTTCAGACCTGCCCAGCTGAAAGTTAAAGGGCAGCTCTCCAGAGCAGCCAGTAGCTGACCAGTAAGCATAGCAGTCCGGAAGAAGCAATCTCAGGCTAACTGGCTGAGCCCCTGCTGTATATATACTGAGAATACTTCACAAGGCTTTCAGAAAAGTCAGGACGAAGTCTTCGTGTTGAATCATAGAATCACAGAATGATTTGGATTGGAATGGACCTTAAAGATCATCTAGTTCCAAAACCCATGCCATAGGCAGCAACACTTTCCACTAGACCAGGTTGCTCAAAGCCTCATCCAACCTGGCCTTGAACACTTCCAGCGATGGAGCATCCACAGCTTCTCTAGGCAACCTGTTCCACTGCCTCACCATCCTTAGAGTGAAGAATTTCTTCCTTAGATCTAATCAAAATCTATCTTCTTTCAGTTTAAAGTCTTATTTCCTTACTGAATTATTAAGAGTATTTTGTATTTTTAAACCTGAAAGACTCTGCTAAACTACATGTAATTTGAGGAATACATACATTTGTTTATTATTATAGTATTTATCAGCTAGTAAATTAAATTACATTCATCAGTTCATGTTAATTTCTATCGTTACACTTTCAGATTTTCTTTTATCAGCACAGTGCTTTGAGATTTGCATATCATTGTCTTAGAGAAGTTATTAAAGTCAGTCAAAATCTGGAAAAACAATTTTCCTCCGTATTAAGTTCTGTAACTCATTTAATCAAAGTTAAATTCAAAATCTGGTATCCTGCTATATCTTTCAACTACATCCTGTACAACATCATGAGTGTATGTATGTCAAACAAACAGTATAAATTAAAAATAAAATCAGTCAGCAGTTTGTCAGTCAATTCTAGGACTGCAAAACTGACCTTGTATGAAATGGCCATATTTAGAAAATCTACATGCAGTTGGGAGTTTGCCATGCACTTGATCTAAGGTAGCTCTCAAGCTTGCAAAACAATATTTATTATAATTGTACTTACTGATAAAAATGCTATTACCTTTTGGCATCAAGAAAAAACAAAAGCCTGCGTGGAAGAGTGCTTGGCAGCACATGTTAGCCTGGTAGCGTGGCTCGGCTGTAGCACCAGCCTTCCAGGCACTAGGTATTGCCCAGCCATACCCCACAGAAAGCAGCAAACACTTGAGTATTTGACAAATCTCAGGCTTGTTGAAATAAACATATGTGTTGAAGACAAAGGTTTATAATTAGGAAAGCCTAGAAAACAAAAATATTGTCAGAACCCATAATTTAGCATTATGGCACAGACATCATGAACTGGTGTGCCAGCTGCAGGCTTAGCTCCTCTGCCCTCTGCTCAGCTGTGGTATGAAGTAATGTTGTGCAAGCAATTTCTACAGGTTGCCAAACATATGACATTATCTCTATTTAAGTAAGCAAGAACAAGGCTGGAGAGTTCTGTATAAATACTTGTCACTGGCTGATCTCTTATACCCTGAAGATGCATTCCTAGAAAGGGAAAAAACCAGAATTGTTCTTCCCGTTGTATCTTCAAAAAAGCTGAAAAATGCAATTCTATTAGGCTTTCCCAAACCTCAGAGAAACTTTTTCAAATGCCTATAAAGGTGGAGGATTAAATAAATGGTTTGTTCAAGTAATGGAACAGTTATTTGACTTCACAAAACATGCATATTTTTAAGTAAAAAATAAAATACTGTAGGGTTTATTCAATTTGGTTTAAAAATTCCATAACTAGAAACACATCATTAGCAGTTTGTACTCACATCAACTCTGTATCAGAGAAAAATAAAGTTTTGTTTGTGTAGCATTGTTAGGCAAAATAATAACTGCAAATTTAAGAAAGAAAAGAACTTATTTATGCCAAGTTAATAGAAATTAGCATTATGAATGACAATTTAAGGAGGATTGTATGATATATTGCAGGTTTCAACAAAATAAAAATAGAAAAGCTATACGAGCCATAAAAATTGCACAATGTACAACTTTCAGTTCCAGGAAGATTGTGTTTGCAGTTCTTGACTACAAAAGGAGCTGCTTTCTGACTGTTGAGATAGATCTTCTGGGGCTGTAATTAATATAGACAATCCTGAGTTTTCCAAATGAGTCAGACATTTAAAAATATGATATGAGATTGGGCTTAAAGTTGTGAAATTTTTGTAAAACCAGTTAGAGATTGCCTTCCAGTTTTTGAGCTGGCTTCACAATTTCAAAGTATGTTCCAGCACCATGAGGCATTTTAAACCTGGAAATAAAGATTACTGTACAACAGATGTGATACTAGCAATGGGGCTTTTAAAAGATGGGCAAAATCACGGACAAATATTGTGAGATACTCAGTAGAGTCATAAAAGTCAGTGGTGCCTGCTGAAGAGTTCTTCATTACATTAACTTGTTAACTCAGGATGCTTATTATTAACTCATTATGCTAAAAAATTTCAGGGAAAATTATGTACATTCGGGATGTCCTTGGTAATCCTCAACAGTCCCAGAGGGCTTTGACAGCTCCACAATTCAGATGAGTTTTTGAAAGACAAGATATAACGTAAGTCATTTTTGTCACCTCCTGGAGCTGACATCTGCAGGAAGCTCAAGTGTTGCTTTTCAGCCATGCTACTGCAACAGCATCTCCTGAATGTTATTAATTCAGGAGCGTGGCTCCACAACGAAGCTCCTGCATGTCAGCTGGACAGCCCGGGGTGTGGAGTAATACCTGTGTCGAGGGGTGCTTCCAGAGCAGGGGCTTCGCTAGAATCTAGGTCCGGAGGGGGGAGGAGGGAGTCGAGGATGGAGGTGTCCCTGTGCCATCGCTCTGCTGCTCCCACCTGAGGCTGACTGGGGTCCCTGCTGCTCCCTAGAGAAAAGATAAGGCTCAGGGGCTGCACGCCAGGACAAAGTGAGAAGCAGAACGTTTGCTTGCTCTGCCTGCCGGCCAGCAGGCCAGCTAGAAAACACAGACTTCCAGACTTAAAGTGGCTTGAAAATACTTATATTTTTTAATTTAGAAATTCCCATTGACTTTATCCATATGTCTCCAAAGCCGTGATAGAGCACAGTGACCTGAAGAATCCAGAATACACTAGGCCAAGTGTTTGCAGTTACTATACCAACCCAGGTGGTAAAACCTCGCACTCCTGCTGCCTCCTAAGAGCTGGAACCACAAGTCACAGCCTTCTGCTTTAGTTTAGCAATCAACACCAAGTAACGCCCTCCATCAAAAAAAAAAAAAGCAGCTCTAGTAAGGGAAGAACAAAGCTGGTAGGTAATGCAGTCTGTTTCTCATTGAGTAGACTAGTTCTGCAGAATGTGTGCAGAGCAATGCAATGAAATGCAATGAAATGATGAAATGACAGCAGAGAAGTAACATGTCCAGCTTGGCTCATTTATTCGCCACGCTGCACACAGTCTGCAGACTTCTAGCTGCTCAGTGAGAAAGCATGACTCCCTTGGCTGGCCAAGATGGGCGATCCGCAGCACAGCAAGAGCTACAGATCAGTTTCACAGCCCACAGAGCAAACAAAGGAAGGCTGGGGACATGGTAATACCCCATATACCATGGAGGTATAGCAGATGTGGAGGGACCTGGAAGCATTTCTACCGGAGAGCTGAGGATGTTGCAGGGCAACATGGGGAACATGTTATGAGGAACAGAGCTGTGACACTGGAGAGAGGCAAGGTCTCATGTCAATAAAAGCTCATTCGTGCATTTGATTAGCTTGTGTAAATGAAGAAAATTTTAATCCACCTTGTGGATTCCCTGAATTCTGCCCTGACTTTCTCAGCTGTGTAGCAAGGTTATGATACAATCAAAGTTTGGTAGGTCAAACTCACTTCAGAGACAACTAGCACAGAAAGATCAGAGCCAATGGATCTGAGCAGTGACGTGCCCAGGCAGGTTCAGTGGCAGGACTGGTGGTGCCAGGTAGCTTCTGAGAGCTGTGACACCATGGAGGTTTTTCCTTTGGCAAAAGGTTTGGTGGAGGAGAACATGGTGTTCTGGAAAGCTGTGATCTTTTTAAAGAAAACAGTAACAATTTTGTTTGACTCTACAGACTGACTGTGGCTTAAATAATTTATATGGTTCTCCTAATAACAAAGTAGTCATACTAAGGACATTACCATTTAGGCAATAAAGCAGGACTATTAAGATGTCTAAGTTAATAGCAGTTAGAACAGTGTATGGTACATTTCCCCATTATTTCTTTAACAAACTCTATGTGAATTCTTGCAAAATAGTAAATACCAACTTGGTATTTGTAGATTTTCTTTTGTCCTTGCTCTGAATTGAAAGAATGAGATTTATTGGATTATGAACAACACAAGGACAGATACAATAATGAAATGTTAACCAGCTGTAATCACAGTTAAATGAGTGCAAACACATTAAGTAAAACTTTGCTTTGTAGGAAAAAACCCAGATCGTTTCACTGATAAATACTATAATTTTCTTGAAATTTGTTTAGGAAACTTTAATCTTGAACAGCTAGTTCCAGGAGAAATTTGGGAAATTATCTGTCTACCTATCTATCTATTAACAGTAGAAAGCATTTCCTACAAGTGCAATAAATCAGGTTATCACACTGTTGTACTCACAAGCTCTGAATCACATCTGGCATGACAGTTTACAAGAAGCAAGGTAGAGATAATTATATGAAGCACATGGGATTTACAAAAATTAATTTGTTGCCCTGCAAAAATTTGTCCTTCAAAAAAGTCTGTGAGAGTTTTCTCATTAATTTGAACAGAGGAAAAATCAAGACTATTGTTTTAAAAGTTAATATGCAACTATCTAGAGCTAATAAAAGAAAGTGAGCCATGTTTTTGTAATGAAGAGTTTCATTTTCATTGAGCTTAAGGCCAATGGCATCCTGGGGTGTATTAGAAGGGGTGTGGTTAGTAGGTCAAGAGAGGTTCTCCTCCCCCTCTACTCTGCCCTGGTGAGGCCGCATCTGGAATATTGTGTCCAGTTCTGGGCCCCTCAGTTCAAGAAGGACAAGGAACTGCTTGAGAGAGTCCAGCGCAGGGCCACAAAGATGATTAAGGGAGTGGAGCATCTCCCTTATGAGGAAAGGCTGAGGGAGCCGGGTCTCTTTAACTTGGAGAAGAGGAGACTGAGGGGAGACCTCATTAATGTTTATAAGTATGTAAAGGGTGACTGTCATGAAGATGGAGCCAGGCTCTTCTCACTGGCATCCAATGATAGGACAAGGGGAAATGGATATAAGCTGGAACATAGGAGGTTCTGCTTAAACATGAGGAAGAACTTCTTCCCAGTAAGGGTAACAGAACACTGGAACAGGCTTACCAGAGAGGTTGTGGAGTCTCCTTCCATGGAGATGTTCAAAACCCGCCTAGACGCATTCTTGTGTGATCTAATCTAGGTGGTCCTGCTCCGGCAGGCGGGTTGGACTAGATGATCCTTTGAGGTCCCTTCCAATCCCTAACATTCTGTGATTCTGTGATTCGGTGCAATTCACAAGTATAAGAAACTAAGAATAGTTTTCTGTCAATCAGCTCATACTAATTATTAAGACTACAAAAAAGCTGGACCAAAGCTTAATGGGTCAAATTCTGACTTCATTTGTCTTGAGTCTCTCGAGTTTAAAGAAGTTACTTTGGATTTTCATCTGTCTAAATGAGATTAAAATCTGATGACTGTATGCAAAAATAGTGGCATTGCTCATGATTTGCAGAAACCTTTCTCACAGGAGACATGGTTTAAAAATAGGCCCTTAAGAGTACTTTCCCACTATATGCTATTTTAAAGTTATCTTACAAGTGTAGTAACTACACCTAAACCTTTATAAGAAGAGACATCCTGGAACACAGTTAGGACTTGAGTAATTTAGATCCTTCGGTGTTTTGTTAAGTGGCAGGTAGATGTTTTACACTACTCTGGAAAACCTTTTTCTTTGTAATCTTTGAAATATCTTGAGATAATGTTTATGCCTATACATGTCATTCTCCATTTTAACTAACTGATGCCACAATAAATATGGCAAGCAAAAGAAACAGTCAGGATGAATATCACCGTATTTAATTAAAATAATCTCTGATATACAACGTTGTGTTGCACTGACAAGCCCATGGGATTTTGCCACTGATTTGAATAAAGCTGGTATTTCCCTCACAGCCGTCACATGGGTATCTCAGAAATGCTCCTAAACAGCTATCAAGGCTAATGAAAGAAGATGCTTTGCTTGCAGGCTTTGCCTCACTAGCGTCTTTAACCTAACAGGGCTACAATAACATCACAGCCCTTCGCACAGCACGATGCCTCTTGGGCTATTTCTTCTATGCCGGTTGCTGAGAATTTTAAACGCACGCACTAAGCAGAATCATTTTTGTTCATTACACTCAGCGCAGTAATAAGAAGATATTGACTTTCTGTAGATTTGTTTTGGAGAAAGCCTCGCAGCTTTCCTCGTTCACATACTCATGCCCCATTTCCCCCAATGCACCACAGATCAGGGAACCAAACTTAGCAGAAGGAAAGCTGATGTTTTCTTTGGCAGGTTGGCCAACATACCCTAATGGCAGCTTTGATGAAAGTCCCCATTTTCCCATTGATCTACAAGCCACATTTTCCAGGACCTTCAAAGGAGCAGCCAGGGCAAGCAAAGAGCTTTCAAAGCTGTTTTTCACTCACTTGCAGCATCAAGCCCCAGCTATCACCCTGGGGATGGTACAATGAAGGGCAAGCCCTTCTGGACGGACAGGCTGATGGGGCACTGTGAAGGTCTGGCTCTGCACAGCTAATCAGAATAGGACACAAACTGAATCCGATTTGGCAAGCATCCTACGCCCCACCAGCATCACTGGAGAAGGCTTTGGGGTGCATAAACGGGCACCTCCTTCCCATGGCCCACAGGCCACCATGGGGGCAGGAAGCGCGCGACGGCTTCCACTATCAAATCAACTATTCGATGACAACTTATTGTCAGAAACATTTGTTAAAATTACAGTTTCATTTAATTTATTGTCAGAGCCCTGAGGACCCAGGACACTATGACAGACCCCCCTGGGGCCATCAGCCCCTGTCCCAGCATCGTGGCTGCAGGGCTGGTCTCCAGCTGCCCAGCCATGGGCCCCACTGAGCCAGGCTCACTTGTGGGGCCATGGCCCAGTCTGGCCTCAGCCCGTTCCCATCCCCCATGCCCGGGAGACGGGCACTTGTCCCCATGGAGATCCCCCCTGCTCCCAGCCCCCGGCCTCCAGGGAGCAGCCAGTCAAGCAGCGCCCTGACATGTATTTCCTTGATTGTGCATTTAATTGCTCATAATCATGGTTGGGATTCCCCTTTGCTCTTGCTTAAGAAATTGCTTATATTTTTAAAAGCTTTTCATTTTCATTGATCTTTGTATGTGCATGTACCAGCTTAAACTTGTGCTTCTCTTTTCCTACAGCATATTACAAGAGCTCTTTTTTCCTTATGCTACAGGACAGAAGAAAGCTAAAAAAACTTAATGAGCATGTTTATTTCTGAAAAAAAGAATTGGAGGGAAAAAAAACCACCAACCCATCCAAAAAAACCCAACAACGTCTCTCCTCCAAACTAACAGAGGCATCCTACACTCCAGTGATCATGGCCCCAAGCGCTGGGATGGCAGGCAGAGCACAACTAGGAAAAAGTTTCTGTATGAAGCTTCCCTTGAAACTTAATTAAATTATCAACTCAGTAAGGATTAAAAGTAAAACAGCCAAAAAAGATTGCTGTCATGGTCTTAACAGCTGGAAGTCAAGAGTTTCCTTGAGTTTTCCAAGAAGCTATGGCACAAGGGACCAGAGGATGCTGGATCTGACCAAATATCCCTTTATCCATGGTCCTGGGATGTGGTGGGATCAGTTGTCCCC